TTGAAAACTTCCAGTGCATAATATAGTGGTCTAGGAAGCTAGTAAAGAGCACAGCCATCCTGGATCACTCAAGATGGCTAGGACCTAGGCCTGTATTCTTATATTTTCTTAGGTAAATGTGATGCTAAAACCATAGTTTTTGGACTATGAACTAGTACATTTGAAGTAAAGTTTAGGTTGCATTATGGAAAATCTTGAAATACTAAGTTGGAGGATTCTAAAGACAAGAGGATCTGAGTTTGTGCTTTGTGATCACAGTTTTAGGAATTTTTTTTAAAAGATTGATTTTTATTTTTAATATATTTTATTTACTATTTTTATTTTATGTGTATGAGTGTATTGCCTGCGTGTATGCAAGTGCACCTGTGTTGTACAATGCCCTTGGAGGACAGACGAGGCTGTCAGATCCCCTATAACTGGAGTTATGGACAGTTGTTAGCTGCCATGTGGGTGCTGGGATTCAAACCTGTGTCTTCTGCAAGAACAGCCAGTGTTCTTAACTGCTGAGCCATCTCTCCAGCCCCTGATTTTTATTTTTAATTTTGTATATATGGTGTATCTGTGTAGAAGTATGTGCACATGTGAGTGCAGTGCCTGTGGAGTCCAGAAGAGGGCATCAGATTCCCTGGAGCTGGAGTTATAGGTGATTGTGAGCCATTTGACTTGGGTGCTAAGAACTGACCTGGGGTCCTCTACAAGAGCAATATGTGTTCTTAACCACTGAGCTATCTCCCCAACCCTTTGGAGATTATCTTTAAAAAAAAAAAAAAAACTTAGAGGTTAAAGTTAGGGACAGAAGTGAATATTTAGATATACCTCCATGCCCTTAAAAAATTGTTAGATATTTTTATTTTACTTATTTTGTGTGTGTGTGTGCTGTGTGTGTGTGTGTGTGTGTGTGTGTGTGTGTGTGTGTATCCTGTGTATACATGGAGACTAGAAGAGGGCATTAGTTTCCTCTGAGCTGGAGTTACAGTATTTGTGGAACTTGCAACTTTTCCCGCCTGTGGGTACTGACATCTGATCTCCAGTCCTTATGATTAAACATAAAGAGGTCTTAATCGTTGAATTCCTGATCCTCCTCAGTGCTGTGATGACAGGTATGTGCCACAACACCTGCTTTATGTGGTACTGAGGCACAAACCCAGGTTGGATATGATCAGTGTATTACATCATAATGAAATCCCCTGTTTTGTAGATTAATATTCATTAATAGAAAAGGTGAATATTTCAAAAGCAAAAAAAATTCATAACAAAGTTTGAATACTGAAATCTTCCTTTAAAATTATTTTTATTGTTTTAATTTTATGTGTATTAGTGTTTTGCCTGCATGTATGTAAGTGCACCTGTGTCATGTAATGCCCACAGAGGTTTGAAGAGGACGTCGGGTTCCCTGGAACTAGAGTTATAGATGGTTGTTAGCCACCGTTTGAGTGCTGGGAACTGAGCCCAGATCCTCTGCAAAAGCAGCCAGTGCTCTTAACCACAGAGGCATCTCTCAAGCCCATGAATACTGGAATCTTAAAGATTCTGGTCCCTTACATTTTCAGCAGCCTGGCCTCTCTTCCACTCAGAATGCTGTTTAACTCCCAGACTTTACATGAACTTAAAGGTTCTCGAAACTTTATTAACTTGTGTCTGCTTCTGGCCTTGCCTTTCTTCCCTTTCCAGTCATGCTCGGGCTGCATCGCAGCAGGATATTTATTCCCTTTGAGATAAAGATAGAAGTGCCTTGCAATTTTCTCATTGAAACTTAGAGCATAGCCAGTCATGGTGCTGCATGCCTGTAGTTCCAGCACTTGAGAGGCAGAGGTAAGTGGGTCTCTGAGATTGAGGCCAGCCTGGTCTACATAGTGAGTTCTAGGCCAGCTGGGGCTGCAGGGAGACCCTGTCTCAAAATAAACAAACAAACAAACAAAGATTTTAATATAATTAAAAAAAATAAAACTTAGAGTCTTTTAAAGGGGAACAGAAAATATCTTTCAGTTATTGGACACATATTACCAATCTAGTCTATGGTATTTAGATCTAAGCTCAGCTGTGTCTATTACTGTTAGACCATGTTAGAATACTCAACTTTGCTGTTTTCTTGTCTGTAAAATGGGTTTTAAAATCACAGTGACGGGGCTGGAGAGATGGCTCAGCAGTTAAGAGTACTGGCTGCTCCTGCAGAGGACCTGGGTTTGATTCCCAGCACCCACATGGTGGCTAACAACTGTTCGTAACTCCAGTTCTGGGGGATCCAACACCCTCTTCTGACCTCTGCGGTCATTGTGCAACATGGATGCACCTACATGCATTCAGACAATACACTCATATACATAAAATAAAATAAAAATAATAAATAAAATATAAACTTAAACACACACAAAAAATAAACTCACGGTGACCTCCTCAGAGTTGGGAAGATAAACAAGAGAATGTGTGAGACCTGTTTATTACAGAACTTAAAATGTCATCAGTGCTTGATATTATTACTTCATCCCATTTCAGAGTACATACACATGGAATAATACTGATGCAACATTTAATTATTGTATGAATAAAAGTGAGCAGTAGACTTAATAGTCTGGAACAGAAAAAGCTAGTCATTTTAATTCATTTTACCTCATTCCTTACTAAGTTTTTCTCTCCTAGATATGCCTTAATTTGAGTAAGGCTCTTGTGAGAAATTTTCATAAATTCCCCAGAACTCCTGAGTCTCCCCTCAGACCAGTGCCTTGCTTCTGCCACAGCAGCTGCACTTTGATCTTTTTTATATTCTGGACTCCCAACATGTTTTCCTTAAAGAAAGGATTCTTTGGCTAATATGGATTTTAAAGTTTTCAAATCTAATGTGTTTTGCAATTATAATTAGGGCCAAGAGTGTTATTGTATTCTATGGAATGTTCAGATTCCGTAAGACAGACTTACTGGAATCATTCAGACCTGCCTCTGATTGTGTTAGTGTGTGTTTTGTTTCCAGTGTTAAAAACAGATAAATTTCTTTAAAAGTTCTTTGTTCAAATTTTCATTTGTAAAGTACAATCCTCCATCTAATAAGATCTGCTGTTTAACTGTGTTCTTGAATGATTCTGTGTGTGTGTGTGTGTGTGTGTGTGTGTGTGTTGAAACTGACCTGGAACTTGCCATGTAGTAGTAGGTAGCTTATTCTTGCAATCTTCGCCTTAGCTGACTGAATGTTGGGATAGTGGGATGTACTGCCATACCCATCACAAACTTGTATGCTTTTTACTGTTTCTCTCCATCCTTTATTTTCCACTTTCACTTATTAAAATTGTTGGGAAGCCTAGACAGTAGATGCGCAGAGTTGTTTTCAATGGCAACTGGACTTGATAACCAAGGTCACAGTGTGCCTTCTATCCCTGTAACTGCCAGCCTCACAAGTAGATCCTACATTCCTGCATCAAAGATCTACCTGCTTCTGCATAGATATCTCCCAGAGACCCCAGATAGGCACATAAAATACAGATAGTATATGTGAATCAGTATACACTTATCACTGTTAGAATACCCAAAGCTGAGGCTGGTGTCTTCTTCAGAAGGAATGAATGAGTCCCTCACTTGAGGGAAAAATTGTTTTGCAAAGGAGATCTATTGAGTGGGTATATCTGCATCAGAGAAGG